ATAAATTGTTATTCTGACTTATAAATCTCTCTTTTGAATTGAGTTCATTTTGCCTTGCTGGTTAACTTTTAAACCAGCACAATACACAATGTACCCAAGCTTGCAGGACGTGCAAGAGTGGCCTGAACCTTCAGGTAAGAGTCTACTCTTGCTCTACCTGTTCACTAACTGTCAGATTACAACCAAGGACAACCTTGAGCAATAATGCCACGTTTTCACTCAAATCAGACCTCAGCTAAAGGAGACTGTAAGGAACAATTAGCACCAAACTGCTGCTCACACTACCAAGCCATCTGGTTTCCATTTTTACACTCCCAGCAATGTCACATCACGAGGTTTGGATGAGGCCACCCATTGTGGGAGACATAGGTAACTAGTGTGAATTTTCAAATATTGTTCTACTCTAGTTTTTTCCTCCTAAAAATTTTGCCAGTGCTGACTAACACAGCAAGCAGTGAATAGCATGTCCTGCTGGGCTCATTATGACTTAAAAAATGAAGGGATTTTGTTCAAATTGTACTAACAAATCCTTTCTTGTTTTTCTAGCTACTTTGCAAATGGTCCCATTGTCCGGCCTTAAGTGATTTTTTTAAGGGCAACAATTATTTTTGTTTTAAATATTTCTAATTATAATAATGTACTTCTCGAAAAATATTTACCTCTTCAGTCATCACAATTCTTAGGCATTGTGTGAGCTTTATTTCATTCCTTGCAACACAACTAACTGAACAAGCCCACCATGGTTATACATCAGAAGCGACACGATTAGAAAGCAACCACAAAACAACAATTCTCATCCAACATGTTGCAATCACACAACAGGATCCTATCAAAATCCCCTATCAAGGCTTATTTACCATGCTACCCATCTTGTGGACCCTTCTGCTCCTGAGCTTCTGATGACCCACTAAGTCTCTGCTGATTAATCTGTTTTAGTGTTCTCTAGAAGGCCCATTTTGAACGTAAAGCTAAACTGCAGTACACAGGCTTAGCAAATCTAAGGTACCTGAGAACTCCCTTTTCCATTAATTAATTAATAAAAAAACTTCAGCTGTGACAGGAGCTAAAATGAGCTGGATTAACATTCATTTTCCAAGCTACCAAATTTCAGGTTGGAGGATTAAATAGTAAAGAGGATTAAGTTGTAAAGAGGTGGATTCAGGGGATTCCACATTACATGTTAACCACTGTAACATGACATTATCCAGCACTAAGGAGTTCTCTAGGCACAAAAAGCTCATTCAGGTTTTGTTCTTCCCAACTCTGAAAAAGGATTCCTACCTCCACTTGAAATGTTTAAGAAAAACAGTTCACCTGTCAAAATGTCTTTACTGCAACCACAGGTAAGTGCCAAAACTGGGCATCAAGTATTTCCTTCATTCTGGAACGATGTTTTTCAAACTAACAAAAAAAATGCATCTAAAACTTGTCCAAAGTACATAACGGCAAAACAAACTCGCTGTACTTCAAGTTAAAACCCGAAAGGGTCCAGATAATGCGGGGCCCTGGTGCCATCTTCTGGTAGTTTAGAGGCAAAACCATCACAAAGTTTTTTTCCTACGCATCCTTTTAGAAAAAAAGCCCCAAACAACAAGTAAAAGATACCACCTAATGTTCTACAGAAGGAGTTTTCAAAAATCTCAGCATCCACAAATTGTTATTTCACTGTACAAGGCGGCCACTGCCTGGACTTTCAAGCTAAATGGTGTTCTTACATTGGCCTAAGTAAAGAAATATCAATTTTTTTTCATCTGACAGAATAAGTATCCAGCCAAGTTAGCCTAATTTCAAAATACATTCAGTACCACTGATAATACTTAAAATTAAAAATAATTGTAAAAATTTCTACATAGTGTTCAAAACCAAAATCAGGAAGTCCCTTTGAGAAGTTTACTCATCATATTAGATGTTAAGAGTGCAGCTCATTGGCCCATACTGATTCCTTTTAATATCAATTTATTTTCATGAATACTTAAAACTCAAGAACATCTTTCCCAATTGCACCACTCTTTCATTACCTTTGATGAAAGAACACAGTGTTGCTATTTGTAATAAAATTCCATGGTTTATGTTTTAAAAAGTAGCACTAGCCAACCTGGAAATAAATGTTCTAGTGATTTGTACAGCTGATACAAGGTACTTGTACTTATCCTGCAAATGTTCATACTGCAAAGACTGTTGAAAACAAACTCGACCAGCAACAATAAAAAAAAAGAAAAAACCACAAAATGAGCTTGGTAATAAAATGTCTGTCAAAAAGTGCAGTATTTTACATTAAATCTAGAGTTAATTCCAGATAACACTTAATCACCAAGGAATTCTGGATGAGAGCTGTAAAGAACCTCACACGCAGTAAGGTGATTTAAAGATAGGAAATTGATTTAAAGACTTGGAAGTTTTAAAAATAAGTCTTACATAAAGGAGCAGTGATGGTACTTGGTTCTCTGGTGGCCTTCCCTACATCCAGAAATTACTCCAAATTGCTTGAGATCTACCAGAAAAGATGGAACTGGTTTTACTGAGGTTTAATATGACAATTTGTTAATACCGTATGAGGGCTTTTGGAGCAAAGAGAACTTCCATTTCATAGACCCTTTTGCTGTGCTGGAAGGAGAGACCTGCCCACATCATCCTGAAGCTTAAAAATAAATTAATAATGGCAATGAACTCTACAAGTGAGTTATGTCTTCTAGTTTGCTGAATGACTATGGGAATGTGACCTGGGTTACCTTAAAAAAACAAACAAACAAACAAAAAACAAAACAAAACAACAAAAAAAAATGAAGACATACCAGTGATTTGGATTGTCCCAGGTTCACTGACAATTGCCACGGGGAAGCAATCACTAAATGTTACAGAAAAGCCAAGCTAAAAAGGGAACATTTCCTTTCACAGAAAGAGAATCAAAAACACTCTGTTGTAACATCAAGCTTTAATTGAGAAACAGAACAATGACTGAAGAGTTGTAAGAGAACTAAATGAAACACAACTGGGATTTCACATTCCTTATGAAAATTAAGGTTTTAGCATGAGACAATTAGAGCAAGGATAGCCAGCTCCTGGTGTGCCAGAACATATAACTCAGCCTGTCAACTTTGTTCCTGAGAGCCCCTCGGAGCTGGTCAGGAAGCAGCTGTCAGCCTCACAAATCACTAACCTACAGTCTCCCTGCTGCTCTCCTCGCAGGAGCCCCATAACCTTCCTCCTGCCATGTGGCTGGACATTCCCTAGACACAAACTCCAGGCACCACCATCACATGGAGTGTGCCTGGTCAGTAAGATGACAGGAGGACTTGTGTGCATGTCCCCATCACACCTGACTGCGCTAAGGTCAAGTGACGACAACAGTTTAGTTGCAGCACAGACAAGCCCATGTTCCCTGGGTGCTACCTCTGTTGGGAGGCATTGGATTCACCTGGCAGAGAAGCTGAGTGACACCAGAACTTGTAACTGAGAAACACAGATGAGACAATCAGAGAACGTGAAGGAAAAAGCAGCAAACACTCACTGTCAAGACAGCTAAACCTTCACACAAGTGAACTTTCGTTGGAGGGACGAACGGGAACATCTTGATGGCATGGGCAAGAAAAGGGATGAAGAACATTCCACTAGAAAAAATGCAAAGGTTAAGAAAAAGAATCACAGTACTTCATGGATTTAGAAAACTAAGGAATTGGCCAAGGAAATATAATTTTTTAAAAGACAAAGGGAAAGGTTAGGAGTTTAGGAGAAGTATTGAAAATATACAGTGCTTACCAATGAGATTACATTGTAGCACATAGAAGAAATGTAAAGAAAACTAGCAATGCACTGCAAAAGGGAATTTATTTCCCTAAAGAGACAGAAAAAATAAAATTTAAAAGTGCAAAGGTGTTGGGTTTTTTGGGGGGAGAAAGGGGAGCACATGAGGGCAGAAAGCAGTGCTAACCACAGTGCAGAACTGGGGACAGAGAAGTGATCCAAAACTCTGAAATACTGTGTGCCAGGTGTAGGAAGGTTAGGGTTTGAACAGAGGTACTGAGGATCACCACCACCTCTCAGTACCCGCCAGGTGAATCTTGGGAGAAGTAATGAAGATGCAATTAAGTGTGCTGTTGATAAGCACATGCACCTGGTCATACCCAAAACACACCTGCAAGGCACCCAAACTGAAACACAGGGAAATCAACTTGGTGAACCAAGAACCACCTGGATTTCTTTCTTCCATTTGGTTTTAACAGTAAAACAGCTAGAGCAAAAATACGTGAAGTATTAATCAAAGCTCTACTAATCTTGCCTGGCCTCATGTAACATGGCTTTCAAGCTCTTTTATTTATCACAAAAATGAGCAGCTCTCCAAAAACCTCAGAGGAAGCAAAATGGATGAAAAGCCAAGTGGAGGGGAAAAAAAAGAGGGTTGAGACTATTTTGGATGCATGAACATGAGCAGAAGAGTACATAAGATTTGAAGCAAAACAGATGATATTCACAGCTATCTAACTTCTAAAAGCTGGGCTTTGGATGAAAAATTCTTCCATTGCCCCAGGCTTTGAAACACACCACTCTTACTCAGAAATACTTTATTCAGAAGACTTATGTACAACACAATCACTAGTGATCAAGACCCAGAATAAAGTTCTCTTGGTTAAATTAAATTATTCAGACCCTTTCAGAACTTCAACATATGACTTCAGGACTACACCATTTGTTTTAATCACAGCAGCATGAACCTTGAAGCAAACCATATTTCCTCTTGGAGCAAAAGTTGGAGCCAACAAAAAGCCTTAGCTCTTGAAAAAGCCCTGTTTTATTACAACAAAATAAGCAATCACACCACACGGTTTTTATCCTCAGTATAAATATTTCTGTTTTGAACATAACTTCATTTTAAGACCGTTTGATTTGCTTCTTTCAGGGTCCACACGGCCACCTACTTTACTATCCCAGTAGACAGCAACTTCCCCCCTTCATTCTATTTAAAAATTTCAACATTCGTTGTTGTTTTAGCCACTCTCTCTTACCTGTAAACCTCTCCCAGAGTTTCCTCCAGTTGATAGCCACTGCCAGTCTCAGCTCCTTCCCTGGTGTCCCTGTAGTAACAGGATTTAAGTTGTTTGACTCACAAGGAATTTCCCTTCCCTAAGGCAGCCCAACAGCCCAAATACCCCATAAACCCTTTCTGTTATGACGGATTTAAGGAAAAAAAATTGCGTTTCATCCTGCTTTCCCAGGTTCTCCCCGCCTGCCTTTTCACAGTGTTTTTGCAGAACATACCATTTTTATTTCGGATACTACTACATGATTTACATAGTGACCACCACCAAAAAAAAAAAAAATAATAATATCACCCATAAACGATATATTTACTTAATTCAGTTCGTACCTGGAAAGCGTAACTTTTAAGTTCAAAAGCGCTTTCGCACGGCGGAACGCACCTAAAGGAACGCGGAAAGCGGACTTCCCGCGGCATTCCCGGGGCGAATCTCCTCACTTGCCCCACCCCGCGCCGTGCGGTGCCCTCAGGCCCCGCCCAACAGGTGCAACGGCACCTATAGCCGGCGGGGAGTTTAACATGAGGAAAAACCTTCCCTTTCTAACACGCCGCAGCCCTTTTTTTTTTTTTTTTTTCCCACGGATAAGGGCGCCGCGCTCCCCTTTCCCTGAGGGCGCAGAGCCGGCGGGCCCGGCGTGAGGCGGCGCGCGGCCCCCTCAGCCCCGGCGCGGCCGCGCGCGGGAAGGGGCGGGGCGGCGGGAAGGGGCGGGGCCCGATTCGAACCGGGCGGCGGGGAAGCGGCGGCGGCGGCCATGGCGCAGCACCAGCTCGGCCGGGAGCACCAGGGCATCACCCTGCGCGGCAGCGCCGAGCTCGTCGCCGAGTTCTTCTGTGAGAGGCTGCGGGGGAGCTGAGGGTCGCCTTGGGGGCCGCGGTGGGAAAGAGGGAGGGAGGGAACTTGGGGGGGAGGGCTGGGAGGCCGCGTCTGGTGGGGAGACATGGCCGCCGGCGGGGTGGGGCGGTGGTACATACACATCGCTCTTCCTCTCGCTATTTCTCTCCCTCTTCTTCTCCCTTTCCCTCTCGCAGCCTATGGAATCAACAGCATCCTATACCAACGCGGCATCTACCCCCCCGAGACCTTCACCCGCGTGCAGAAGTACGGGCTCACCCTCCTGGTCACCACCGACCCCGAGCTGACCAACTACCTCAACAACGTGACGGAGCAGATGAAAGGTGCGGGGGAGGCTCCCGGGCCCTCCCTGCTGTGTCTCTGCTGGCCCTTCTCGCTCTGTAAGTGACCGCTTGGCTTCTTTCAGAGTGGCTGTACAAGTGCATCGTGCAGCGCCTGGTGGTCGTCATCTCCAGCATCGAGAACAACGAGGTCCTGGAGCGGTGGCAGTTCGACATCGAGTGTGACAAAACTGCAAAGGATGACAAGTGAGTAACACAGCCCCACTACACCTGCTCTTCCCTATCCCGAGGAGCTGTGCAGGCACAAGATCAATGCCATGTTCCTTCATCTGTTCCTCCTTTGTTAGTTGTTGTATGATCAAACCATACATAATCTTCAGGTACTTTTTTTTTTTAAGCATCAGATCAAAACTTGATTTTTAATCCTCAACAAAGCATATAGGATCTTGTACATTTGGGTACATAACCCAAAGAACTGCTGCTTTCTTTTTGTTATGCCAAAGTGTTCTCTTCTGTTTCGGACTGAGAATAAATTTAAGATTCCTTAAAAATACTGGGAAGCTTCATAAACAACAATAAAGGGAGACCAGCTGTAGACTTTTCTAAGTCTATCTACCTAGGGTTTAAAAGTGTCACTACTGTACACATACTGTAGCAAACAGACCAACAGAGCTTAATAGAGAGAACTGTATTTAGAGGAAACTGTCATACAGTAGAAGTTTTCTTTCTTACCAGAGTTTTCCTGTTTTTCCAGCGGACCCCGAGAAAAGTCTCAGAAAGCAATTCAGGATGAAATTCGCTCTGTCATCAGACAAATAACTGCCACAGTAACTTTCCTGCCACTGTTGGAATCTGCCTGTGAGTATTCTGAACTTCACTAAAGAAAACAAACACTTTTGGAAAACCTGAACAGCTTTTCCATTTTAGAAAATATTTTTCTGCTGATTTTCTGAGGCTTTTTGATTATTATATGTTATGTACCATCATGTTTCTGAGACAGTACTTTGTTAGACTGAGATCAGGACAGAATTTGAGGTTGCTTAACCAACTTAAAAGAAACTAGTAAGTATGCTCTGAGGAATATAAGTCTTTATGAATGTGATTTGTGACTAGCTGTGGACTGGCTTGTGTAACACTGAGTTCATATGAAGTGTTACACAGAGCTCAGCTCCACAGCATTTTAAAGTGTTTAAAAAAATTCACGACACTTGAGAAAACTAAAGTGTCCTCAGATGAATATAACTTGTTTTCATGTTTTAAATACTCTTTCTTCATATAACAAGTATCAGTGTAACTTTTTAGAACATTGGTATGTTTGAAGTTCTAGAAGATGCACTTCAAACCTGCCATCTCCTTATGTGTGTATTAATTAATTTGTTGCCATTTGGTTACAGGTGCCTTTGACTTGCTGATATATACAGATAAAGATCTGGCAGTGCCAGAAAAGTGGGAAGAGTCAGGACCACAGTTCATCACCAATTCCGAAGAGGTTCGTCTGCGTTCCTTCACCACCACGATCCACAAAGTGAACACCATGGTGGCTTACAAAAGGGATTCTGTTCCCTAGGATACAGGGAGGGGGCTTGTGTGTGTGTATATATCCTGTAACCTTGTATAGTTTCTGTCCATAGTGCAGCTGAGCCATGACCATACCATTACTGTTGCTCTTGCTAAAGTATGACACAAAAAAATTCAACGTGCTTGTGATAATGTGATAGAACACTAGACTAGGCTGGCATCATGGTAATAGTTCAATTCTTACTTTACTATATGAGCTAAACTAATGGTGTGTTAAACCACTGCCTTTATTAGAAAAACTGCCAAAATCTAGGATTAGCTGCTGGAATTGTGCTCAGTTCCTATAATTTTGTATTTTAAGATTATTTTAAACCGTATTCTTCTAGCAGGCTTAAGTTCTCTCTGGCAACTGAAAAAAAAAAAAATCTCACTCCTGAGGTGCCAGTTTTCATGTTAAAAGCTTGGGCTGTTTTATTACCAGAAATAACCCTAAAAAGAATCAACCGCACCATTCTTGTACCTTCTGTACAGTGAAAGCAGCTGTTTATCAGGAAAACTTTTAAATACATGAAGCCTTGTATTTTAATGACAGCTGGGCTCTAGTTCTGGGGAGGGTGGTGTTCTGTCTGTCTGTAGTGTCTGTCTAGTGTCTGTCAAGCATTTTCTATGTTTGTATTCTTGTTTTATAGAATAAACCTTCAAATGTTATAGTATTCTCTAATTCAGAGTCTGCAGTACTTTGTATTTCAGATGGTTTTATGAATGCTGAATCTTAGTTTGTAATACAATGAACACCCTGAAGGCATCCTACTTGTTTCCTCTGAGTCTCAAAACAAGTCTTGTGCAGTCAATATGAAATCTATTTATGGGCTAACAGTTTGCCCCCCTTTAAGTCTTCAAATAACAGTATAGTCACAGTGGCCTAATGATTAAGCACAGTGCCTTCCACATTTGTTCTTACCCATTTTTTGCAGTGGAAGAAATTAGGGATTTAAAACTCTGTTAATGGAACTTTCGGACTCTTCCACATTTTTGTTTGTTCCTTCACCAAATTCATTTCAGCCAGAGTATTGGACTTTTTCCACTCTTTTACAGTGATGCAGTTAACTCTTTCTGTTATAATAATATAATTCCAGAAGTTTATTTAGAAAACATTGACTACATGTACCCCACCACTGTATTACAAACCTTCTGGGCTTTCCTACCAGGAAATAATTCTCTCCAGCAGTCCCAATCCAGCAGAAGTGAAAAGTGATTCTGTAAATTGGTAGCACAAAACCACGTCTTCTCTTTTTTTTAAATAAATACAATCTAGGTAATTAAAAAATTACATTATTCACTATAAGGGCTGGCACTGCAGTAACAGAAACCTGATGTTTTCTTCTGCCTGTGCTGCCTATTCTTAAACAGGTGACTGCATTACCCCTTCATACCTAGAAGCAGGTGCACTTCAAGGAGTGAAGTCTGCAGCAACTGCAAGTTAAAAAACCTTGTTTAACAGAGATGCAAATGTCAAATTTCTCAAGGAAGGTCATTCTTGTATCCAATAGTATATATCTTCTTCTAAGAAGGACCAGCCCAAAGTCCATCTCCATCATCATCTCTGTTTCTTCTTTTATAGAGGCACCAACAGTCAAGAGAGATAGTGGATCCTTGCATACAGATAATGTCCATTAGAGGTACATGTGAAAAGGAACAGGTTATAAATCCTGAAGTTTTCACAAAGACCCTGCAGAACAGGAAAGAAAATAAAAAAACAGTCAGTCATATTAACACAAAACTTCATGGAGGTGTCCAACAGGATGTGCTGATTCCTAATGGGAACAACACTGCTCATTAGTTTCCCCTACTCCAAGGGTCACTTTTGTAGAGTGATGAATCAAAAACAAGGGATGCCCCTCATGTCCAATGGCAGTATGGTTATTAGGAAAGGGAGTCAAGGGTAAGGTTTGGAATTCACCCAACAGGCAGTGCTCACCTGACTAGTTGAGCTGACGTATGAGCTGGTTGATGGCTTCCCCTCTGTAGCCAGGCTTTCCCATTTCCTTGAGGAAACCCACTCTGTTACGTGACGCGTGGCGAGCCACCGACAGGTGGAATGGCCACAGAAACTTTGTGACTTTATTGAAATACCTCCCAGTTGAGTAGATTTCATGAATAAGGTCTTCCAGGCAAATAATACCACAGCCCCCTGCAGAAAAATAAAAATTAAAAAAAAAAAAAGCAATGGCCAACTGTATTATCTTTCCTCACGCTGCTCCAGATTGCCAGCCCCCCAGTCTGGTAAGATTTTTCTCCCTCCCCATGCTCTCAGGTCAGACTGTAAAGTCTCAACTTCTTCCTCAATTTTCTCAGCCTCTTCCTCACCTAAATGTTCCTCTATCAGCATATTGTCTGTCAGAGGCATCCTCTTCTTATTGATCTTGGCCTGGCCCCGTTTCAGGATGAGCTCTCGTACAGATTTCAGGTTTGGGTGTCTGTACAAAAACAAAAATCAGGTTCTGTAGTGGAGAGACACAATGCAGTGGGGAAGCCCCTTCCTTTTTTGGAAAGTAACCAAGTTATGTTGAGGACAAGAAGAAAAGAGGCAATAACAAGTTTTAGATATAAATTTGGTTAAGCTTTGACCAGCTATGTATCTGTGAAACCAAATGGAGAACCAAAAAGCAGTAACGTTCCCATACAAACCACTGCCAAGCCACAGGAGTGGTACTTACCCCCATGCCACGTAAGGGTCCACGACCCGCAGCAACTTCAGGGTTAACGGGGTCAGTTTAACAAATATCCCGGTGAAATTCTTTCTCAGCCGCAGCAACTCCATCACTCTTTTTACCCTCCTGGTCACTCCCTTAATACTGAGTCAGTAAAAACAGCAACAAAAGGCCTCAGATTAGTGCGATGATCGCACTTCATTTGCATAGAAATAACACAACAAAAGGCAGCAATAATGAAGGTAAGGAGTCGGAAGAGTTTCTTACTCCACAATCCGCACAACGAAGGCCAGTTTGTGCTCCCGAGGTGCCGCCGCCTGCCCCGGTCTCTGCTCCATGCGCCTCAGCCGGCTGTCATCGCGGCGTTTGCGCCACGAATCGCGAACAAAAGTCTCGAGGCGTCTGAACTGGATTTGTTTCCCCTTCTGCTGCTACAGTGAAAAGGAAAAGAAAGTATCACCCACCCCGACGGTCTCAGAGGCTTGCATCTGACAGGCCAAATGAAATGCAGGACTTGAGGAACAATGTTCCTTCAGCTTTGGAAGCAGTAAGAAGAAAATAAATTTGATTATCTAAGCCCAAAGGAAACACAACTGAGGGACAACACATGAATTTAGAGGCAGCTAGATATAATTTATGAACAGTAATCTAAAGAGTTTTTTCCCCATGAAAAATATAAATTAGGGAAAACAGCAACACCCAGGATACTTCTAGACACAGGAGAAATTAAATGGAAGTATCTGCAGCCACAGATGATCACAGCTACACACCTAGCTCAGCAATCGCTGGGAAAGCCAGAAACAACTCCTGCACCTGGGCAAAAAAGGTACTACAGCAATACCATAGTGTGACTCAAAACTACCATCCAACAGAAAATAACTGTTTTTAAAGTCCTTTTCTACAAAGGCACACATACAAAAAAAAAAAAGTATTGCTAATTTATACACAAAACATCCAGCTCGCTTGGAAAAAAAAAATTTCAGAATTATGGGAAAATTTAAAGCATTTTTTAAATTAAAAAGGTGTTTAATTGCTTGTCCTTAGCTTAGGAGGGAGTACATCCACCTAAATCATAGTGCCTTCTCATACAAATAGGACTTGACTATGCATGGCAGTCACACAGTAATACTTAAGATAACACTACTAGTTAAATTATTAACTCATTTTAAATTATAGAATCTAATGTTACGGATCTTCTATTTTACCTTGTAAATCACCCATGAAATTGGTTTGAATTTTCCAAGCAGGCAGACCTAATCAAAACCTCATCACTAAGGTCATTTTTCCTATGAGAGTCTTAAGGAATAGCTATTTAACATCATTGCTTATGCTTCCACTTCCACCTTGAAAATACAGGAAGCCACTGATGTGTTTAAAAACATTAAACACAGTATCCAACAAAAATGGCAGGAGTTTTGTACATAATCCCACAGAAATGGGCTTCACTGGGAAAGCTTTAAAACACTTCTAAGACAGGCACGTACTGTATTAGCTGAGGCACAGCGGAACAGGACTGAAATTCGGAATTAGAAATGTTTGCTGTGCTCTGCTAGTCTGGAAATGACAGCCCGTGCACCGGGAGTGTCTGTATTAGCAACATGTGCCACCCCACACGCAGGAAAAGGCTTCACGATGACCTGTCTCTGCTCTAACAGATAAATAAGTTAACTCTAACTGCATCCTCAGAAAAGCATTGTTTCCACGAAGGGTTACAAAGGCGAACGGGTTTCAGAGAGCACAGACAACTCAGCAGCGTCGCAGTTCCCCACGTGTGGCTGTAAACACAGCCCACCAGGTCACCTCTGATCCAAGAGGAACAACTCGCGCTCTTCAATACATTTCTGTTCCACTGCAACCAGCCAGAAAGTCTTGTCCTTTTTACGGGGCTCAGAGACACGGGGAGAAGATGCCCGGGGAGTGAAGAGCTCCCCTCGGAGGTAACCCCCGGCTGAGGGGTTCGACCACTGGGATCGCTTCCGTACGATCGGAGGGAAATGCGATTCCCTCCTTCGGAGGACAAGCAGGGCCAGCACGACCCCCGCGACCCGCCATACCTTGCGCTTGTTAAGCAGCGCCTGCTTGGCCTGGGTGGCCTTGATGGCCAGGTACGCCTTCCTCTTCTTCAGCAAGTTCTCCGGCACCAGCGGGATCCGCCGCCTGGGCCTGCGGGAGGGACATCCCGGTCACATCCCGACCCCACATCCTCCATCCGGCCTCCCCCGGCTGCCCCGCCGCCGCCCCCAGCCTCGGTGCCGCGTGGTACCCGCGGATGGCGGCGGATCCTTCCAGCCATCCCTTCCTCCCTCCCTGCCTCCCTCCCGCCGCACTCACTCCTCGGCCTCCGCCATCTTCCCGGGGTGGCGCCGCGCATGCGCCGGGGCGGGGCGTGACATGGCCGCTCCCCCTCAGGTGCCCCTCGCCTTGCCCGGGGATCCCGGAGCGCTGGGAAGCCGCTCTACTGGACGGGAAGCGGCTGTACCGGACGGGAAGCGGCGCGCTGCTGTCCAGCCGTGCGCTGTGCCATGTCGGTCCGCACGCCGGGAGCCTTGGAGGGAGGGGGCGCTGGGACACACGCGTTGTGGGCAGCCGGGTCGCCCGCAGGTGGTGCCAGAGCCTCACGCTGAGGGATGCCGTTCCCTCCGATGGGGTTGTGTTGGCGGTCTGCTCCCTCTTTGCCGTGCAGGATAGAGGAGGGATGTGTGCCTTTACACTATTAACCATCATTGCGTCTGCAGTCAGCTCGGTTTACACCGACCGCAGTGTTCCCTTGGCAGCTGGGAGCTCCAGCCTGGCACTGGAAGGCTCGGTGGTCCCCGGTTTCCCTGCGCGCCTCGGTGATGCTGCAAACCTTTGGAAACACTAAAAATTAGGCCACTTCTGGTTTGACACCTAATACTTGAATACCTGTATTTAGAAGCTCAACCCCACCTGCCCAGATGTGTGCTCTGCAAAGAGCACAGCCCAGCTCCCCGTGAACTTTTGGATTTATGAGGCAGAAAGCAACAAGCTT